GATAGTGTAATACAGCTTTTCCTACACCAAAAACAAGTCATAGACTTTTTGGTGCTGATAAAAATGAATTAGTTTAGTTATTTTTGTCATTCCCATGGGGGATGCAATTTTTCGTCATCTAAAGCCCCACACTAGCTTTTGCCGGATGCCCTGAATATAGCTGAGCCAGAATTGTGGCCATAACGGGTGAAAGGGGTTTCTAGGAGCTCTCCACGGGTGATCCTCATCCACATGGTGGCACTTTGTGACACCTGGTGTTTATCGCTTGTGTGATGTCCTGGTGGGGTACAACAAGAAAGGAGCAGTAAATATGAGATTAATCAGTCTTGATTATTTATGGCAGGCACATTAACTGCGCTTTTCAAAAGAAAATAACTTTTGTTTATATTATTGGGGTAGGGAATATGAGATATATACTCTGCGAAACATACGATGACGTCAAAAACTGTGCTACTGACTATGAGACACTAGACAGTAAGTGTTCATTCGTTGAAATAGTGAAAACATACACATATAACAGTGAGGAACTATTGCTAACTTGTGTTGGTGGTGAGCAGGGGAGGCAAACACATTCGGTGGACACAGTAACAAGGGAAACTACATAATCTATGTCTTGAAAATGATCAGCGGTGAAGATATTGTTTGTGATAAATGAATGTGTCATTATACATGCATCAATTCCTTGAAGCCAACCGCACGAATGAGGCTAGAAAATCTGCTTGCAATTCAGTTAAATCACGTTGTTTGTGGTATGCATACTTCAATTTGATAGACAGCATCGAAACACATATTTATTGCAATAATCGAGCAAACATGTCTGACAGTTTAGAGTTTATGGCATTCTATACAACCCCGTCCCTTCCAGGACGAAATTTTTTGTTATTTGATGCCCCACCCTGGCTTTTGCCAGGGGCCGCAATATAGGCAGGCCATAAATATGGCCAATTGTCTGAACGCGGTTTCTGGGACCTCTCCACGGCGATCCTCATCCGCATGGTGGCACTTTGTGTCATCGGGTGTTTATCGCTTGTGTGATGTCCTAGTGGGGTAGAAAGTCAGTCAGTCAGTTTATGGCGTTTACTTCCCCCACATAATAAAAAAAAAAAACAGTTTCGTCCTTTTTAGGACGAAATTTTTTGTTATTTGAAGCCCCACCCTGGTTTTTACCAGGGGCCGCAATATAGGCAGGCCATACATATGGCCAAATGTCTGAACGTGGTTTCTGGGACCTCTCCACGGCGATCCTCATCCATATGGTGGCACTTTGTGTCATCGGGTGTTTGTCGCTTGTGTGATGTCCTGGTGGGGTAGAAAGTCAGTCAGTCAGTTTATGGCAGTAATATCGAAGTCCAATTTCGTCCTTTTCAGGACGAAATTTTTTTTTTCATTTGAAGCCCTACTCTGGCTTTTGCCAGGGGCCGCAATATAGGCAGGCCATACATATGGATAATGTCTGAACGCGGTTTCTGGGACCTCTCCACGGCGATCCTCATCCGCATGGTGGCACTTTGTGTCATCGGGTGTTTATCGCTTGTGTGATGTCCTGGTGGGTTAGAAAGTCAGTTAGTCAGTCAGTTTATGGCAGTTCACCGTTACCACTTAATTTCGTCCTTTTTAGGACGAAATTTTTTGTTATTTGAAGCCCCACCCGGGCTTTTGCCAGGGGCCGCAATATAGGCAGGCCATAAATATGGCCAAATGTCTGAACGCGGTTTCTGGGACCTCTCCACGGCGATCATCATCCACATGGTGGCACTTTGTGTCATCGGGTGTTTATCGCTTGTGTGATGTCCTGGTGGGGTAGAAAGTCAGTCAGTCAGTTTATGGCAGGTAATTATATGCAATTTCGTCCTTTTCAGGACGAAATTTTTTGTCATTTGAAGCCCTACTCTGGCTTTTGCCAGGGGCCGCAATATAGGCAGGCCATATATATGGCCAAATGTCTGAACGCAGTTTCTGGGACCTCTCCACGGCGATCCTCATCCACATGGTGGCACTTTGTGTCATCGGGTGTGTATCGCTTGTGTGATGTCCTGGTGGGGTAGAAATTCAGTTCAGTTTATGGCAGGTACAAATTAATACACCGTTTAATTGTAATTAAAAAAGTAAGTAAAGAACCCCTTTCTAAGTCTTTACGCATATAGGGATAGATCTATATTTTAATAGACTAATCGGCACAAGATGGATGATGTGGTCAGCATCACGCTGGCCGCCTTTACTTCCCGGGGACTGCACCCGGTACCCACTCAAGGCTGGGTCGACATGGGAGCCAAGGTCATTTTTGAAAAATTGTAAATAGTTACATAAGAATAAACTCACAGGGAGCAAGTACAGCGGGGATCTACAGTCATCAGTAGAAATTATCCTCTTTCGACACACGTTTCGGCCCACGATTCCTAAACGTATTCGGAGGTGAGCCCACCTGAGTTCATGAAGCTCAGGGCTGCTTCCCCGCCGCACAGAATTACCGGATGGTGTTATTATTCCGGCCAGAGACAAGACGACTTAGTGGTTTCGAAGGAGGTACTGTGAGATAAGAAGCCGCCACGGCAGCTTAATTAGAACAGTCAGCGTGCCTGGACGACCGAGCGACAAGCTTATTTTGGTTTACCGGACACATGTTGGACTTTTATTAGCAGTTGGCAGAGGAACACTGGCAGACAATTCGTACACGATGGACTTTCAAAGGGATAAGAAACTCTTTTCCACTAGATACCCGGACCAGCTCACCGAGGCCCGTCCCCTACGTTGTTGCGCTGCGTCCAAAGCCAGCTAGATGCCCTTTCGGCCACCTCTCCCAGTTTTTTGAGTGCTCGTTTCCGTTCATTACCGCGCAATCCTAATTCTTTCACCACATTGTAGAGCGAAGTGGAAACGAGGCCTCTCGCTCCCACTTCGACGGCAAATACCCTTACTGTGTAAGCCTCGTTTCTCCTCAAACCGGCTGCTAAATCACTGTACTTTTCGAGCTTGTACAAATGATTCTCCTCCATACGCGACTCAAACGGGACCGCCAACTCAATCAGGATGAGTTGCCGTTTTTGCGCAGAATGGAGAACGATGTCCGGTCGCAGGCCGGTTTTACGGATCAACTCGGGATACCGTTCATGGCCTGGCAGATCAACCGCCAGTAACCAGTCCCTCGCAGAGTCTAGTACAGATGGAGCGAATGCGTTTTTGTTGACCTTACCAATTGGAACCTGCCCAGCCTTGAGGAAACGAATGGGGGCGATACTAGAACTGGCTCTGGCGTTAGCCCTCATTCTAGCCTGGTCGACAACGGCTGCTAACTCCTTTAGCACCTTGTTGTGGCGCCAGGTATATCGGCCTTGACCTAGGGCTTTCCTGCACGCGGACAGGACGTGCTCAAGAGTTTGTATCTCACATAGGAAAAGCTGTATTCATTGTTATCTAGGTGAAGATAATGGTTGACGACTCTTTGATCTCAGAAGACATTGAGATATGTTCTGCCGTCTTTACACAAATATGTCAAGTGAAATGTTTGAATTACTAGTTGTTTCTTACATGTTTTGGACAAATGTTTACTTCTACTGAAAAACAGTATGCTCAGGATTACCTGTACGGAAGGTACACAGTCAATGCAGGGGCCCGGAGACAAAGAGAAATTGGAGGTGCCCCATTTTCTACAAGCCATAATAATCTAGCCCCTCTTCTAACGTCGTTTCATATTATCAAAATACCTTGACATGATATGCCTTGTCATGTATAAATTCACCACCCAAAGGCGCAGATCCAGCCAGTCTCTCTCTCTCTCTCTCTGTCGATCCCCTACCACGACGGCGTAGGCTCATCACCCGTGACCTTCCAAATGAAGCTTGTCACTCTAATATACAATTATTACAAATGTAACTTGCACTGCTTGTAGTCACTGTACTAACCATGAATCCAGACAATAACATTACATTTTCTTTCAACAGGCGCATTTAATGTGTCGGCAATAAATAAACGTTAAAGAGAAGCAAGACCGATTTATCTCGTATTTATTAGCACCATATGTATAACTTTTTTTTTTTTTTTTTTTTTTTTTTTTTTTTTTTTTTTTTTTTTCAATAATTATTATTAGGAAAGGCTGTGTTATGTTATCAATGCAATGAAATAACTTGTAGAACATTTATGCAACATATAGAAAAAATTTCGAAGTCCCAGTGTCACATTAGAAACATTCTTGGTTTATAAAAACTAGCTCCTTAACCTACGTATACGATATTCAACACTTACAATGTTAGGATGTGTCTATAGCATACGGCGTCTTCAATCTGTAATTATTGCCCTTGGATTCACCTTATATTTTAGTCAATGGTTTTCTCTCTCTCTCTCTCTCTCTCTCTCTCTCTCTCTCTCTCTCTCTCTCTCTCTCTCTCTCTCTGTGTGTGTGTGTGTGTGTGTGTGTGGGTACCGCACCAGGACATCGCTCAAGTGATAAACACAAAGTGCTATCATTATGAAAATGATCACCTGTGGAAACATCCGGCAAACCCCGTTAAGTTAAGCCTGGCTTTATTTAGAACACCGGCACAAGTCGAGGTTGGGGTTTAAAATAACATTACAATTACATCCAACAAGTTGATAACTTGTACATAATGAACAAAATGTACAAGTCGACTCCTTGCAAAATGCTTTTTTTTTCGGAGCTCCACCTATGTGAATACAGATTTAATAACTTGTGTTAAAAAAGAACATAACCCACTTGGCAGTTTGTAATAAATAACAAATTATGCATTCAAGGTATCTGCAAAGAAACCAGTCTGAAAACTATTAAAATGATTAGATATGATGTTCCTAAGTTCTAACACAAAACACAAGAATTGTAAGACTACATTGGAGCACATTTTGTTATCGGTGAATACGGAATATGATTACAAAAAAAATTTAAATACCATGAGAGAAGATACAATTTCGTCTTTCTATTTATGACATTTTGAACCATCTTTTATGCATTTGTCATTGGTATATGTGCCATGTTGGGTCTATGTCTGTAATCACTGGGCATACTTCTGTGTCCATACTCTGGCCATTTTGTTGTACTTCTTACGATCGGTCTTGTAGATAGGAGCAATCACAGGTACTAAAGGATCATTAGGGTTGGGGTCTGTGAGTAGGGAACAAATGGACAGGAGCACTTTTGAAATGGTCAGAGCAGGTGATCTTTGTGACCTCAATATATCCAAAAAGAAGTTGCCATTGCTGTTTATATTTGGGTGGTAGATTCTCGTTGTGAAGGCAACCTATATCAAATGGAAGATGTATTAAATTTACGATCATGGTAACATCAAATGGAAGATGTATTAAAATTTCAATTATGGTAACATTATATGGAAGATGTATTACAGAAGCTAAATGTAGAATAGCTCAAGCAAAGACATCATTTTACAATAAAAAGATCATATGTGCAATCTTTCTTTGTCTATTGAGACGAGAAACAGAAATTCTGAAAAGCTATATAAGTCATATCTTAATGTAAGGAAATGAACCATGAACAGCTGGCAAACTAGTGAAAACCTATTTCGAAGCTGCGGAGATGTGGTTTTATAGACTAATATTGAGACTACCATGGACAGATAAAAGAGATAAAGATGTCTTGAAAGAAACCGACTCAAGAAGAGAACTGACATTCCACATCAGAAAGAGACAATCTAGATGCGTTGGTCAAGTGATGAGAATTCGACAATTGGAGTACATCGTGACAGTAGGAAAGCTGGAGGGGAGAAGAGGCAGAGGGAGACCGAGAGAACAGATGCAGGACAGTCTGACATCATGGCATGAAGAATTATGTTTGTCAAAGTTGACTGAAAGTACACGAGACAGAAGGTTGTGGACAGACATGACTACCAACGCCACACGGCATGGACTTTAGGAAAAAGAAGAACATCCTCTGTTACAACCCTTTTTTGGGGGTTGGGGTGGAATGGGTTAAATTGTGGTTATTTTACTTCGTCAACACTACTGAAATCAGTTTTTCGGTTTGAATAGATCCGGAATTGTGTCAATAATTGGCGCCTGTGATCATATCGATCTTACAGATTTTCTCCTGTAATAAGAGCTGCGCATTTATAATATACGTAAGAAATGGTTGATGTAGGCGGATGGTAAGGGATCACGTATGGACAGGACAGTGGGAATATAGCTGTGCGAAAGGTAAAGTAGAACGAGTACATGGATATAGAAATGTATTACTGTACGCATGTATATGTGGGTATGAGTGTGCATGTGTGTATATATATGGGAGCATGTATATTTATATATTTGTGTGTGTATGAATGACAGTGCACTCAAAGAACCCATAAATTGTGTTGCTGCATTGTTAATTAATGAGAACAAATGGAATGAAGTGTGTACGCAGCAAGAACGTCATCAACACACACCATCCACAGAACATGATAAGACAGTACCGGACAGGTCACATACCAGTAACGGGACATAACTTAAAAGTGACACGACCAGACGAAATTACAGACATAGCGACAAAAACGCAAAAGACATGGAAGAGTGAATGTCACTACGTGTGGATGTACTCGTTTTTTATGAATGTAAGTACAGGCATTGGTAGACGCATATGAAAGAGTTTGCGTGTGTACGTAATGTCACTTAGGTATGCATACACGGATAAGTATGAAAGGACGTGCAAATATGTAGTGTTGTCTGCGTGTATGAGTACTCGAGTGCATATACGCATACACCTAGTTGGGTGCGTCCATATACTCTGGGGATTCATACACAAAACCATCCTATTCCACAGCATTCATACAACAGGCACATGACCGACAGGACTCACAACAAGATATGGCTGACAGCAAATAAGGAAAACAAGTGACTCTATAATGACAGGACTAGAACGGGATGATAGCAAAGGTTGGTAACGTGATATACATAGTCCCGGCAAAAGGCCACGCTAGAATCCAGCAAGACGGCAACGACGAGAAATGACTGAATGACCTTCCGCCCCCTTTCCCCTCTCCTTTCCCTAAGTCTTTCGGATGCACTATGAGTTTAACCCCCCGACCCATTCTCACAGAGAGCACTTGAGTTCGTTACCCAACATGCCACTGCAATTCTCATCGCCGAACATTTGGATCTCAAAGCGTGAGCTGGATGCTCCAGTTATATGGTATTTATGTACACCGGAGCTTAGCTGTCAACACAACCCGATCACATAATAACAAATGACGACTGGACCCGCTTAAGGCTCCTCACAAACTCTCACACACATATCCATTACATGACTAACCCGTTCATATTACAGGAAGACAACTATAAGACCACTATGGTCACACGCGGAAAGTTTTCACATTTCGGAACTATTCAAATTCAAAAACTGTTTTCAGTACTTTTTGGCAAAATTAAAATACTCAAAATTTTAAAACAATAAATGGTGGTCCAAAGGACGTTGTGTATGGAAGCTCGCTCTCTTTCGAGATACGCCTAGCCAGATCAAAGGGAGACAGAACAAACAGGAAACACCAAGAAAGAAGAAGGAAAACATGCACCAGTGACAACAGGACGAGCAGTTTGATTCGGATGGAAGCATCAAGCCCAGAAATGGCACAAACACTAGTATTCAGTCACGAAAGTGACGCAAATAACCCAGACCACAAATATAGGCGGAGACTGCTAGCAGCCTAGGCCAGCTAGCAGCAGTCTGAACGTGGTCGAGCTTTTCTTTTTTTTTCTCAAAATGACTTGGACTTGGACGTTGATGAAGACTAACTTTGATCCTAGAGGCTATTTCGCTGTAATGCGGTCCTGGTGGGTGATTTGTGCTGAGGGATGTGAGAGGTTTGGAGTGGCAGATAGGTTTCGGTGTGTGCAGAGATTTTGCAGTTAGAGAGAGAGAGAGAGAGAGAGAGAGAGAGAGAGAGAGAGAGAAAGACAGAGAGAAAGACAGAGAGAGAGACAGAGAGAGAGAGAGAGAGAGAGAGAGAGAGAGAGAGAGAGAGAGAGAGAGAGAATGGGGAGGGGGGGGCAGAAAAAAATATGCAAGAATTGATCGAAAAATAACTACCGAAAAAAAAATACGAATGTTTTGAAATAATAAAGAGACCATGAACAAACAGTAACAAATGGGTTTCAGCAGAAAAATCTACCTGTCCGATACACCGCAAAATGCTCACTGCTTGTGTCACCGCAATAGTAATCTGACCCGGTGAAAGGACACTTAATCCTGCAGCTTTCCTATACAAAGTCATGTTTGCACCACAGCAACATCTAGACTTCTTCTGTGGAAGAATATTCAGAGCATTTCAAATAGTCTTTCTCGCACTTATGGGTAACTAGTATTTATGGGTAACTCGTATTTATGGGTAACTCGTATTTATGGGTAACTCGTATTTATTTCTAGACTTTGTTTCTCTCTTTGTGATTGTAAACAAAATGTGTTTATTAATTTACGTGTCGAAAAAAAACGCTTCTTTATGTCTGTCATTTTCAAATGATTATTTTTCTAATTGCTATCATTCTTTTATATTCTTTCTTTCTCTGATATACACTTCTCTATTTAATTCTTACTTTCTTTTCTTGATGTCTTTACTTCATTGCCCCGTCAAGTAACTGGGAAGCATGGCAGAATTGACTGCATTCTTAACACAGAAGGTCATGGATTGTTGTATCATAAATAAAAAATAAAAACATAACACACATACAGTATTTAGGACACAAACGCTAACAAGTGGCGGATGACTGATTTGAGAATAGACATCACAGCACACGGGACATACCTGAAAATGCTCTGTCTCCAAATGCAAAGGAATTAAGATCTAGTTGGTAACTGTTCCCTTAGCAAATGTGTTAAGGTCTAGTTGCTAACTGTTTCTTTAGCAAATGTGTTAGGGTCTAGTTGCTAACTGTTTCCTTAGCAAATGTGTTAAGGTCTAGTTGCTACCTGTTTCCTTAGCAAATGTGCTTGGGTCTAGTTGCTACCTGTTCGCTTAGCAAATGTCTTAGGTTCTAGTTGCTAACTGTTATTTTAGCAAATGTGTTAGGGTCTAGTTACTACTAAGGTCTAGTTGCTACCTGTTCCCTTAGCAAATGTGTTAGGGTCTAGTTGCTAACTGTTCCCTTAGCACATTAATTAAACAAACATCGTTATTTTCCTCCCTTACCAGATCTACTCCTAATTCCATTTCTTCTGAAAGAATCGGTTCATAAATGGTCTCCAGAATGTCTTCTTTATCCAATATGGGGGTTCACATAGCTATCACGTTTGCAGCCCCCCCCCCTCCCCCCTTTAAATCTGCTCTTTCATTCCCTCACACTCCTATATCTCGTGGACATTATATCTACACGAGTTCCTGTGTCAGTGGACTAGGACGATTCTAAACAGTGTACCCGACCCGGTCGTGAATATATTGCCACAGCAGTCAGGCTGTGGTGAAACTCAGTACTCAGTGTATACACTTGCACAGACTGACAGGCGTGCGTCACCACAATGAACCTTCATTTGCCGGTGAAATTTGGAAAGGCTTCAATGATTAAGAAAAAACGAATAATAGATGGCTGCCTATGTGGTAAATACAAAAAAAAAGTTTTAAAACACTCATTACGATGTCATTGAGTTCATCTGCACCGTGCTTAGCACTTTTTACATCTTCGCCAACATTATTGACATATTACACACATCTGCATAAGTGAGTAAGTAGGTAAAGGTCCCTTTTCCAAGCCTTTAGGCGTATTGGGAATATAAGACTATACCTAAATTTGTATAGACCGATCAGCACTTGGTGGGTGATGTGATCAGCATCACGCCGACCGCTTTACTTTTCAGGACTGCACCTGGTACCCAGTTAAGGCTAGGTCGACCTGGGAGTCATTGTCATTTTTAAAAAATGTCTGGCTCCCTCAGGACGCGAACCCACGATCTTCCGATCATAGTCGCCGTTGCCACGGCGACTCTCACATAATGTCAGGTTACTGTAATTTCTCTAACACTTTTAAGGTTTAACGTGAAGCCCCCTCGCATGTTGAAAAATACAGGTGACAATACTGATCCCGGAGTCAGGCCAGCACAAATATGTGGGCTGACTCTGATCTCCATGTTTCACAACTGCGTATTTCCATGAGTCAGGCCAGCACAAATATGTGGGCTGACTCTGATCTCCATGTTTCACAACTGCGTATTTCCATGAGTCAGGCCAGCACAAATATGTGGGCTGACTCTGATCTCCATGTTTCACAACTGCATATTTCCATGAGTCAGGCCAGCACAAATATGTGGGCTGACTCTGATCTCCAT